TTGTGCATTCTTAAAAAATTCATTTATATCATTTATTGCGTAACGTCTCTTTGACTTAAACTTCAATTTTTAAAGAATAATTGTTACTAATACTATTATTTTTGACTTAAAATTTCACAAAACGAATGTTTTGAATATTATCATTTTACTATCATTAACTTTAAAAATTATTTATAATTATTTATTATTTTATTTCACTTATTTCTCTTTGCATCAAATAGGGTACATTATTATTATAAAGAAATAATTCTTTAAAAATTATTTATAATTATTTATTATTTTATTTCACTTGTTTCTCTTTGCATCAAATAGGGTACAGTATTATTATAAAGAAATAATTAATTTCGACAAAATAAATATGAATAAAATTAAAGTAAGAAGAAACAAATTATCATTTTAGTTAGAAGTATGTGTAATTGAAATTTCTATCTTTTATATTGCATTATGATTTGTATTGATATGCTGACCTTAGTTGGTTTTTAAACAATTAGAAGATGACATAATATTGATTTACTTTTCTCATAGATAAACCTTTGCTTTCAAAATCAAATACCTATATATTTTTTCTAAAAGATATTAACAATTTATTTCAACCATGGTGAGCTTGATTAAAAAGGAGAAGTTCTATGACATCAACATATGATCTAAATCTAGATCTACATTCCACTTCTTTACTAGATTGACCATGCATTTTAAATTGATAGTACTTAAAAGTCAAACTATATATATTTTGGTCCCATCTTACTTTTTATAGTAAGATATTGACAATTTAAATTCATGATGATTTAACACAAAAAAAAAAGAAGCTCTTTTTCTCAATATCAAAAGCATGCCTTTTTGTTATAATCAGAGAAGAAAATTTAAGGATTTGAATTCATAATCAAGTTTTGACAACTTTTAAATTCAAAAGACAAAAGGGAATATTTCCATCACAACATAAATATGCCATTGAAAGGAAGAAAACAAAATATTAAGGAAAGCTATCAAACTGTAGCTCGTGTGTCAATATAAGCTTAATTTTGGAATCTTTGGATTATTATGAAAGAATGGTAAAATGAGATTATAGCAAATAGAGAAAGCAAAGCAAAAACAAGAAGGAAAGTTTCCTAAACTTTCAATTAGTGACACTTTGTTATGTCACACATTAAGACATTTAAAGCTATGAACGCCATATTTTTCCCTCCAACGATATTATGACAATAGAAATGTCGTCGTGATATTGCCTTCTTTCTCCTTGTGATATATCAAGCAACTCATGGAACTCCATACCTACAATGCAACAATAAAAATCAAACTTGGACGGATGCCCATTACCTCTTAGAATAAAGATTAAAATAAAAGCAAATGTAACCACAATTTAAACAATTGTTAAAAGGAAGTGCTTCATACAATATTTTTTGGCTGCTCGACAGAGTGCTTCTTCAATGAGAAGTTGAGCAGGATTTTTGTATGGAAACTTAGTGATGAATAACTCTACTTTGGTAACTGCTTCTTCATTGGTGAAGTATTGGTAAAGTCCATCAGAAGACAGTATGAGAAATTTGTGACTTGAGCAGAGCCTGTGATGATGTAGTGAAGGGGAGCATGTGATATATGGAGAGTCTCCTATGTACTTAACTTTGAAAGTCTTTAACATTGCATCATTTTGCTTAGGCTGCAAAATAAACCAAGAGGCTCATACCATTATTATACTCAATAATGTAATTCAATATAACAGTGAAAAAGGAGCCTCAAACTAGCATAATCCATCAACATACCTGCTTAAGAAACCCTGCTCCGAAAGCCCTTGTGATATTTAAGTAACCTTTCACTCGGCCTTTAGTTAGCACATCAGGGTCATCTGGATGCTCCTGTTTGATTCTCCGAACCTCCTGAGATTCAGAAGTGAAAAAAGTAATTAAAATAATCCATCAAATTAAGTTTCTCCAAATTATAGAGAAACTATGCCGCTAATGCAGAATCGTGGTAGGTTGTTCAATGCGATCCTATCAAATTCACTATGACAAGAAACTCCATTTTAACATAGTTGCAAAAAAAAAAAAACTACCTCTCTCGCATGAGCGCTATGATCCACGGTGAGCTGATAATGATTCCCAATCATAGTAGCTAAAACAGCGCGACTATCACCAACATTTCATCAAGTAAACATCTTGTCCTTTCATCAGCATAACCAAAACACAAGAACCCATCATAGCTAACGCAGGAGTACTAGTAATCATCTCATCAATTATCTTCAAAAACGCGTCCTCAGTTTTCCTCATTGCCTCAGAAAGTGCTTCCAACACATCTGATTGACTAAAACTTTCTTCACTATCACCGTTTCGATTACACAGAAACCCTTTAAGCTCATCATATACAGCACAAAACATGTTCTTCACAAGATAATCAGTTGCATCAGGACCATTGAATCCATCATAAATTCCTACATAAAACCCATCCATGATCTTCACATATCATAATATGAACACGATCCTCGCCACCTTTTCCTCGAGCCATATGAAAATTCTCACACACCATTAACGACTCATCATGTCCACCACCACTGCCGCCACCATCAGCATCATCACCACTCAAACTAGTACCACAACTCACTCTTCTATAACCATTGCCATTACCATCATCACTTTTCTTAAAATATGAGCCTTTTCCAAATACTGCATTGGAAAAAACTCTACTCAGAGCATTCTTCAAGCTGATCTTACTAGCCTTCTTCATCTTCTCATGCTCCGGATCATTCTCAACGAAATCAACACTATTTACCCCACGATTATAAGGACTCCAAGGAGCCGTTGTGGAAACGAAAGAGCCAAAGCTTTCAAACCAAGCAGAAGAATCCAAAACAGTGTTTTTGAAGAGAGTCATCAACGATAATGGACGGTGTTGATGATCGGTTCGCACTTACGGTAGCGCTGGAGACCGACCTAAAACTCATTGTAGCGACGGAGTCATCAGAGAATGTGTCTCCCTCGCTGGAGTTTCGAGGTGGTGGGTCCGGTCTGATATAGCAGACGGAGTTGCAGAAAGCTCTGTCGGATTTGTTGGACATGAAGGCAGTGTTGTTTTGCAACCTACCGGAGGTATCAACGGCGCCGGTGGAACAGAGGCAGAGATTGCCGAATCTGTTACCCATTGGAGAGAGTTAGTACAATGAAATTCTGAGTTCAAGTTTTGGTTTTTATAGCTGAAAATTTTTGTAAGTCATTAAATGTTCAATAAATAAATAGTTGACTATTTTTAAATCTTTAAAAGTTTTTTTTTATTATTATTTTTTAATTTTTTTATTTAACATTAGTTGCCTATAAATTACTTTAGTAGAAGTTGACTATATGTTGAGAATAAATCTATATAGTAGGCATACCTTTTGTAGAAAAAGTTGCTTTTTTATTTTTATTTATTTTTTATTTATTTTGGGTTGTTGAATAAATTTTTGAATTTAATAGGGATATCTTAAAGGGAAAGAATTATGTGTGCTTTGAATTTAAAAAATAATCATGGCAACAAATTATGTTTTAAAATCTGAATCGATTAATATAGATCGATGATCAATTCAATTAAGATACTAAATTATAAATTTGAATAAGGGATTGATACAAATTGATTATCAATTTAATTAAAATGTTAAATAAATTATTGAACTATTAATTTTTATTGCCGTATTTCTGACATGCGTTATTGTTGACTTACACATATTAAAAATTTAAAATAATTATGAGAGAAAATTTATACTTTAAAAATATAAATGTTGACCAATTTATTTTTAATTATGTATTTTAATTTTCAAAATTTGAATATTAACATTAATTATAATATTTTATTAAATAATTTAAAAAAAAATACATATTCATTAGTTCAAAAAGGAGAATTCTATTTAACAGACTGCTATTAGTGCATAATATATATTTAAAATTTGACAAACATTCTTATAAAAATATAATTGAATTCTAAACAAACCATTTTAAAAAATGGAATTGAATCCTAAACAAACCGGTCATAAACATCTAATTCAACTGACATATTTTTATTTAGACATTGCATCCACTCTCATTTTTATTTACTTAATTGATTTAATTATAAAAACAATTTAATAACACAATTGAACTAATGATGAGTCAAAATTTTCAATTTATCTGATTGAATTCGACATAGATGCCCATGTTTTAAATCTATAACTATGAAAATATATAATATATTTTTGGTCTTGCTACAATGTCTTAACAGCATTTTTTTAAAATTATTTATTAAAATAGTAAAATATTACTATTTCCGATATATTAAATATATAATTTTTTTTTAAAAAAAATTATTTTATTCCCTTCGGTCTATATAAACAAAATATAACATTTTTAAATTAATTGAATAAGTGATGTATATAGTTTATGCATATAGATCAAACATAACAACCTGCAAATTCTGTGTGTTTATAATAGTGGAGATATTAAAATAATATTCTCATATTTCTCAAAAACAAATACATAAATTTATAAAATTGATCACACTTATTACTTATTATATTATGATATTTAATATTCGTTAGTTTTTTTAATAAAGATAAATTGTCGAATAAAAAAAACAAAACAAAAAAACGAGGAACATAAAATCTAACTTATCAAAAAGTTAGTAAAAATTATAGACGGACATCTTTCAACTATTCTTTAAAAAAATTTAAAAGCATAAATAGGAAACAAATTCATCTAGTGTAATAAGTCTCTATATTAATTTATTTGCATATGCATTTTATTTAATTAAAATATATTAATAGACACTATTCATATTATAAAATATATGAATGACTAACATTGAATTTGATTTAAGTCAAAGATTTATTTTTCGGTTAATATATTTGATAAAAAAAACATGCTTCTATTTAATTCAGTTTGAAAGAAGGTGTTAACTCAAATCTTAGTTGATAAATTTTTCAAAATATTTCTAAATCATTTTTAAATATGTCACAAGTTATTATTTCAGTTTTGGCTTAATTGCAATTTTGGTCCCCTATTTTGTATTTTTTTGAGTTTTGATTCCCCCATTTTAAAAGCCACGATTTTGGTCCCTTTTTTAAGTTTCAAGATTAATATTAGTCCCCTTGTCATTTTAAGTCATGGTTTTAATGAGGTGGCGCGTTGAATGCTGATGTGGTATTTCCATGTCAAAATAAAACTTAAATAAAAAACCCCATTAACTTAAATATTATTTCCATTTTCATTTTCATCTTAACCATTGTAACCATTTTCATCTTTCCATTTCTTCACGAACGAATCAAACTGGCAGCTCACATTTCTTTCTTCCCATTGTAACCCCATTTTCCTCAACAAACCCATACCAGCCCTCCTATTTACCAACATGTCCGAAACGAATTTTCTTTTCCTCAACAAACCAGTCTGAGTCTGGTATAAGAAGAAGAGGTAATAGATGTTGGTGTGAGCTTGAGTCACCGTTGATGACGTCATGGACATACGATAATCCCAGAAGAAGATTTCATGGGTGTGGTAATTTTAAGGTGATAAGGAAAAAGGATGTAATTATTTTCAGTGGGTTGATGAAGACATGAGCAGTCGTGCTAAAGATGTGATAAGATCTTTGAAAGACAAGAATGAGGAGCTCATGGATGTGATTAAGGACATTAAGAAAATGAAGATTTGTTGAAGATGAAAATTAGGTTTATGTATTATTTTGTGGGGTTATCTTTGATGTTTGTCTTTTTAGTTGTGTTTGCATTAGTTGCAACACATTGTACTCAATTGATGTAATATCAAATGCTTGTAGTTACTTTAATGTGAGAAGAGATTGTGTAATGTTATGGGAACAGATTGGGAACAAATTTGTGTTGAAACAGTTTGAAACAGATTTGTGTTGGAAACATATGTATGAACCATCAAGCTGTTGTACCATCTGTTCATTGGAGATGCTATGATCGATTGTGTAATGTTATGACTCCTCTAAAACGGGTAGTTATTAAAGTATGTTAGTATTGAGCTATAAAACTTGGTGGCAGTTGAAAAAATACACAATCTCACGTTTTTGCAACTACATTCAAAAATTCATTCATTCAAAATTGGTACATATTACTACATACTGTATTGTTTTTTTATGCTTTACAACTACATTCAAAATTCATTCGTTTTCAATTAACAGTGAATGTAGCTGCACTTGTTATCAATTTTGTAGCAGCAGTTTCAGCAGGTGAAGTTCCATTAACAACAGTTCAATTATTATGGGTCATTTGATTATGGATACATTATGTGCTTTGGCTCTTGCAACAGAAAAACCTACTAAGGAATTAATGGATCAAAAACCTGTTGTAGACTGATGTAATCAAACAACAGCATTATATAACAGCACTACATAACATAACATTGAAGGCTGGTGTATAAAGACTGATGTATCATTACATTGACGACATCATTAAAGACAACATATTTTAACAAAAGACATTGAGTTTTTTGGTCATAACATATGTTATAGCAGCATCACAAAAGTAAAGCAAAACATAAAACTATTCTTGGGTTGGTGGCGGTGCTTGCAACCCTCCGTCTACAACAGTTTCTCCCGCTTCCTTGCCCGACTCTGTCCACCCTTTTTTTAAGATTTTTTGTTGCCACCTTTATGAATCGCTCTCCTCCGCAGCTACGCTTCCCTTTACACGTTCGTATTGTTATGGCCCAAAACTCTCACATTTCTTGCACTTGACAGTTTGAAGAGTTCTAGGCAGTGTATTTCTTATCCTCGGTTCATCATTCGCCTTGTACGATTCTTCTTAGGACGACCGATAGATCTTCGCATGACTGGAGGCTGATTGGGTAGCAACATTAACAGGCCATAGTTGTGGGCCATTGGTTGGTATGATGATATGGCTATAAGTAGCCAGAACAGTAGATTTCCTAGATAATATGACACAATGATTTAGTTAACGTACAAAAAAGATGAATGTAAATGAACATAATATACGAGTAGGTGATACCTATAGAATGATGAAATGTAATCTTCGGGCTCCTTCTTGTTATACCATATGCATGCAATAGCATGACAACATGGTATTCCACTTAAATCCCCACTTCCTACAACCACATTTCTGTTGAAGAAAGTTCACAGCATATGTCCTCA